ACATCTCCAAATGGAAAATGGTCCCAAAAATATCAGTTGCCTAGGTAGTAAATCATGGATACAAAAGGAAACATCTATACAACACGTCACCAATGTTCATGTGAACGTTTTACAGGAAAAAATTTAGTGACCAGAGCTTTGAACAAATCCAGTTGGCCTGCACCTACAAATTCCCAAGGCCAAGGCAAGTGGCAAGGTACTCAGTCAGCCCTCCTTTTTTCCACTTGTAGATCACCTCCAAGGTGATGCTGAAACACAACAGGAAAAATAAATATCTTAATACGTGATAGGATCTAGTTCTTTCTTAACTAACTGATGCTTTCTTTTTATTTTAACCTACCACATGCGTTGATAACTTAGCAATGACACAATGGACATTGTGAATAGCCAGTAAATAAACCCTCAACAAGGATTTATAATGACTTACCTTACTATCTATGTGACATACATATGGGCATGTTGGACAAAAGAATCTGGCAGGGCGGTCCATATGCGGCAATTCATATTGCAATAACATCCCACAAGTCCGGCAAAATTCCATTGCAGTCTCTTTTAGGATAATCCACTATTTATGTATGTCTCTACAAAATTAAAACAAGGGGAAAAATGCATCAGAGTAACATAATATTAGCACACAAACTTAATCTTCACTTGATTGTTTCATTCACAATTTAAAATAAATAAGTAATACATATGCAAGATGCGCAAAAATGAAGCACTAACACAGTGGCCATAAAGAAAGGAAAATAGAAGTATCTAGATGATTAGAAAAGAAAACAAACTCTTTGATTTGACTCAAAATGATGAGCATTTCATTCCTTTCTATTGTTTACCTTTCGACACACACGCTCTCTCCTTTCTCTTCTTTCTTCTCCCTAATCCCAGAAGAGTATATGCGCAACTGAATGAATATTTAAGATACTAGAGAACCTCACCTTGCGAACGTCTTAACAACTTAACCTTTACCCCAATCCCAAAACATAAATCCTAAAATTTAAATTCTCTAGACAAGAAATCCCAACATTCAGTATTCATATCGCTCAGAGAAATCAATAACAGCCATATACATTTAACAACAAATTTCTCAATAGAAAGACAAAATCAAACTCTAAGGACACCAATTGATTGATAATTTACAAAAAAACTACTGAAGTTTCTTAATCTATCAATCAATTGATACAAAAACAATCATGCAAGCTCAAGCCCTTACCTCAATAAGAATCGTCAGAAAATGGGAGTGGAGCAATAAATTTTACCAGAATTCCTAGAGCTTCATATAATTATAGAAAAAGAAAACTAAAAACTAAAGATAAAAGAAACATCTTTAAAAAAAATCCAAATTCCTCTGTGAAACTAGTGCCACAATTCTCAAGAATTATAGTAATAAAATTTAAAAAAATCGATAGAATCCTAGATTGGAACAACCGATTTTATCAGATTTTTTTGGAAAAAATAAAAAGATATTCAAGACAAAGCCCTAAATAAGAATCTCACCCAAGGCACCTTGCCAGAGTTGGAGATGGCTGCCATCAGAAATGATCATATTGTTGGTGATTTCTGAGTCTCTCCAATCTTCATTGCCCACTCTCTGTATCTTTAGCCGCAAAGTCTTTGTTTGTTTTTGTTAGAATGTGGGTAGGGAGCTCTATTGTGAAGTGCAAGAGCCGCTCGTTTTAATGAAGGAAAATAACTTCAGTAAGTCAAAAGATGAAGTTATTTTCCACCAAGTGAAGTAAAATATATTCCCCGCATAAATCTTTTTCCAAGATAAAATGATTACCAAACACAAGAAAATTTGGAAAACATTTTCAGGAAAACATTTTACATTCAAACAAACACACCCCAAATGTAACTAATTTTCACCAATTTGTGAAATAAAAATCTTTATTTCCTTAAACATATCGTAAAATAGGCTAAACATACCTAATGTCTTTGCTTCACCAGTATTGATTGATATCCATTAATTTGTCAAAAGACGCTATCTTTGCCCATGACATGCTGCAAAATAAGGTGAATACGATATAATGTGTTAACAATTATATACAGAGTATAGCTAATCAAACCCCAATTTGTATGCCTATATGAACTCTATGTAACCAATTAACAACTATATATTAAATTCATTCTTACATTATGTGTATGCATGTGACAGTGTGTAAGGGCTAACAACCAATTACAAATTTAAACGATGGACTAACTTCTGTAAATTTATGACCATGTAAGCGTACATAACATATAGCACTACTCCATATCCACTAACAACGTGTACCCTCAACAGAGAAATTTTAATATCAACTATACCAAAGTTTGTATAATACATTCCAACTCATGTAATTACTTTTTTCTGCGTTATATCTAATCTCTCTTTTATATATATATATATAGTCAAGTAACTAACACCTAACATGATGTACATTTTTGTAAACTGATTGTATCTCGTAGATCACCTTGTGTAAGATACTCACAGACAAACAAAGACTATTCATACAAGTAAAATTACACATCTACTATAGGAAGATGTACAAATTGATCAAATGGCTAAATAACTGCTTCAAATTTATGTATACAATTGCACTACCTTTTATAGATATACGCATTGAAGTAACTAACATCTAACATAATGTACATTTTTGTAAACTGATTGTACCTCATAGATCACCCTGTGTAAGGTGTTTATAAGCAAATTAGTATTATTCACCTAGATAAAATTACACGCGCACTGCAGCCTGCAAGGAGATGCACAAGTGGGTCAAAACATCAATAACCATTCCAAATGTATGCATACCATTGCACTATGCATATTGCTGTGATGACTAATTGCAATATGCATGTGAACAAATAACTGTATATTTAACAATTTCTATGCATCGTATTGATGAATAACATATTGTACATTCTGATAAATATAGTGTACATCACACACCTTATCTAGGCTAATAACCATTTCAAAGTTATAGATACCATTGCAGTACCTTTCACAGATATACACAGTCAAATAACTAATACCTAACATGATGTACATTTTTATAAACTGATTGTACCTTTTAGATTACCCAGTATAAGGTACTTATAGGCAAATTAGTATTACTCATACAAGTAATATTACACATCTACTGCAGCTTGTAAGGAGATGCCTAAGTTGGTCGAAACACCAATAACATTTCCAAAGGTATGCATACCATTGTACTATCTTTTATAGATATACACATTTAAATAACTAATACCTAAGATGATGTACATTTTCGTAAACTAATTGTATTTATACATCACACTGTATAAAGTGTTTACAGACAAATCAGTACTACTCATACAAGTAAAAAAATTTACTAAAAGTCAGTACAAGTTGTGGCTGCAACGGCTAATTGCAATATGCATGTGGACAACTAACCGCATATTCAAAAATTTGTACACATTGTATTTGGTCGGTTACATGGTGTACATTATTTCAATCAGATTGTACATTCACTAAGTATGTATGTACTGGCCATTCATTGAAGTAAACTATCTATCTAATTTAATGCACTCTCATAAGCACTAATTGTCAATTTCATAGACAATTGGAACAAATAACCATCTAATAAAAACATCTGATATAAATGTTATTAATGACTAACATGCTATACGTTCCAATAAATATGGTGTACATCACATACGTTGTCTAGGCAAAATCTTACAAGTTATCAAAATTTTTGCCATACTTTAAAAGCAATTACAAGTAGTAAAATTTATACCGTGCAACAAGTTACACCATACTTTAAAAGCAATTACGAGTAGGCAAATATCATTGTAATCATGTTATGGGATACCTTGCAACAAGTGTACCTTCTTGATGTTGTCAAGCCATCCTAATCCTTGTTTAGTTAGACTTTTCAGATGCTGAAATCTATGACAAAATCATATATGTGAGTGATGGTCACATAGTGTCACAATTGTGCACAATAGGTTTCCGATAATATACATGTTGTTAGATGACAGTTACGGTTTATAGTCATAAATGTACGCATTGTGAGTCAGGCATTGCAGTGTTGTACTCCCTATTTCATTAGTGTAACTCGCTTTACTTAACTTTTATCTTTGTCTACTGTGATGTAAGCGTCCATACACGGTCGGTAATACAGTTTAAACTATACGGTGTCACTGCTATTCTGCAACAAGAATAAAAAAAAAAAAGCAAGTAACAATTACCTTCACACTCTCCCTGTTATTTTATATACCTATAAATATTCTAAGTCATTTAATTCATCTATTGAGTCAAATTTACAAACACTTGGCATGCATAAGTTCCCTGTGCATACGTTCTTTAAGTTGGCTCTCAATGTATCTAATTTATGCTACCCATATGATTTCCTTGTTTAGGAGTTTTCGCCAGAATTTCAATTTCATTATTCATGTCACACTGTCTTAAACGAGTTGTACAAACAAAATCATGCAAGTAAATTCATCCCTCTTCTGTCGCAAAACAAGCCAAATAGTGCAATGAGTTTGCAATATTCTTACCTTTGGGGTTTAGTCCAATTCGATTGAGTCTATCCCTGCTTTAGATCTCACCAACTTCCGTCTTGTTGCAGCCTTCATGAAAAATTTTTGTCCCGCAACAGTTACTTCTGCAACACTATACACTTTCTCCAAAAACCTCTCATCTGAAACTTCCCAATTTGGGGGTAGGGATATTATTTTGCTGATACTCTGGAATTGTGAATGAATGTTCACAAGATATGGTTTTGGAGGGAGACCAAAATTTTATTTCATTTGAAGAGTTCAGATGAAGAGTCGTGCCTCATTAATTTGAGCGGGAATTTTTGGAACGGACAGCTGAGGTATTTTAACGGAGCCCGTTAGCCCCTCAGATGTTTTTTTATTTCTTTTCCTACTCACTCACTAAAACAACGTCGTTTTCCTTTGCTGTTGCTCCCATTATACGTGGCCTATTACAATCCTCTCATTTTTTTTTGTGAGAGGACCGCTCAGGGACGGTCCCTGCCCCGTATCCATTGAATCAGCCATTTGCAGATGGGTCATTCGATTTAATTTGGTGTATTGAATGTGCAGATCACATAAGCGACAAAACAAAGGTTATTGTTCTTCTTCTATCCTTTACAATTACTATTTCTCTGAGGACCGTCCCTGCCCCGTATCCATTGAATCAGCCATTTGCAGATGGGTCATTCGATTTAATTTGGTGTATTGAATGTGCAGATCACATAAGCGACAAAACAAAGGTTATTGTTCTTCTTCTATCCTTTACAATTACTAGTTCTCTTTATTATTTTTTTGTTATTATCAATCTCTAAAAAAGACTATCTATCCTACTTGTTGAACGTAGGTACCACATATATGTAATAATATAAAATTCTGCTGATGCTATTTTCTTCTTGATGAAGTTTGTTCATGAGTTGAATCGGGTGGCTGCCCCTGGTGCTACTATCATTTTACTCACTTGGTGTCATAGGGATCTTTCGCCCCTTGAAAACGATTTGCATCCAGATGAGAAAAAGTTACTGACCCAAGCGGTGAGCAGAAATCGTGCTAAGTGGATTTCTGCTGCTGATTATATGAATTTATTTAAGTCCTGCTCTTTTCAGGTATTCAATTGCGGTTCCTTTTTGCTACTTATTTATTCGATCAGTATCATTATTTTTCTTCATCACAAAGTTTTCCTTTTCCCGATTATCTAAGCCTCCTGTTGTTAATTAGGAGATCAAGTATGCAGACTGGTCTCCACACGTTGCTCCACATTATGCAGAAATGAGGAAGATAACGTTGTCATGGAAGGGAATCATGTCGTATGTTAGACATGCTGGTAAGCATTGTGTATTTCACTCGCCTATATGGCCGATTCATTACCATTATCTACCTTGTAATTGTATGCTATAATTCTTAACCATTTCTCCATCTTTTCTCAATTTCAATTAATAGGATGGAGGCAAATGGGCATCAAGTTTCTGATGATGCCGTCAGTGTTCGACACATTCAAAAATGGTCTGCTTAAGTATTGCATTCTTACGTGCCAGAAGCCTCAGTAGTTCAGTTCCAGTGATGTTTAATGTCCATGCATAAATATCACTCCACAGTCGATAGTTCCTTGTTTTTCTTTCTCAAAAGCTAATTTGTACTTGTATTGTTCCTCAAAACGTGAGAATCTTTTTTATTTTGAGATTTACCATTAGAATTTTCCTTTTTTTTTCTTTGGAAGATCTACTATATTGTGCAAATGCGTTGCACAGGACTACAGGTAATTTGGAGTTTCGAACAAACTTCACCCATAATTTGTAAGTACTTTTAAGCTCTGGAGGGTAAGAGGAGCCCTATTTATCATCCTCTTTAAGGACAAAAGAAAGAACTTTAAAAAAAAAAAAAAATCTGGTCATTGGTCAAAAAGTTTAAAATGAAAAAAAAAAAAGAAAAACTAATAGTTGGTCTAGCATCTAGTTTGTTCAAAAATACTTGATTAAACGCATTCGCTGTATACGTGTCCTTAGACCTTCCGGTGAATACTTGGATGCAGTCAAAAGAATAAAAATTTACTATTTCTTCTTTTTTTTGGGGGGGGGGGGGGGAGTGGGGCTGGGACCACAAGTGAGCGCTTTGACTCAACTTGTAATACATGTTATACTGAGAACTAGCAGACTTGGTCAGTTGGCCCACCTAATATTGAAATAAAAAGAAAAAGTTCCATTCGAGTTGTCAAAGCTGAGGTGTAACTTTTAGTTGCAAATTAATCCAAGTTTTTTTACTTTTCTTTTGACAAGTCTCTTAGTGCCTGAAGCAAGTATAACTTTGAATTTGGTCCGGTTTAGACCAGCTCAGAAATTCGGTCCGGTTTAGATTGTAATTTTTGGGAAGTTTAATAGAAAAATATAATCGTATGATGGTTAACGAGTGGATAAAAGAATTGAGGGTTTCCTAATTGATGAAGGATAGAGTTTTTCTTATGCAGTGGCTGCACCTCTTGATCACATGATTCTGGTTATCAATCTCTTCGATTTGGATTCCAATCTTATTCAAATATTTTTTATTCTTTCAGATTATGTCTTTCTTGTGCACTTCAATCTCTGCAATTTAATAATTGTTTCTTAAATTGGATTATGATTCTTTTAGATTATGTTTTTCTTGGGCATTTCAACCTTTGCAATTTAAAAATTGTTTCTCAGATTGGATTTCTGGAGAGGCCCCCTGATCTAGACTCAAGGCCTGACAAGCTGTATTTCTACTCGGTTTTATGTATATAGTAATTTCATATTTTATTACACCATTGTTTCTTGGATTGGATTTTGATTCTTTTAGATTATGTCTTTCTCGTGTATTTCAATCTTTGCAATTTAATAATTGTTTCTTAGATTGGATTTACATATTTACTTCGGGAGAGGCCCCTTGATCTGGATTTGAGACCTGACAAGTTGTATTTCTACTCGATTTTGCGTATTTAGTAATTTCATATTTTATTACACCACTTTTTTAAGTCAATTACATCATATTTCAACTTTTGTCACACTATTTTCCAACTCAATTACATTAAAAGGCAAACTTGTGAGACCCCATCAGCCCCTAATCCTATTAATATTACACATGCAGATTATATTATAATAAAAGAAAATTGCCAAATTGGTCTCTTAAATTTTCGGTAAAACTTTTTTTAGTCCATCAAATATAAAAAAGAAAAGCGTGCTTGTAGTCCGCCAGCCTTTCTTAGGTACCCACAATTTAAATAGCAAAATGTAAACACAATTTATTTTCTTCCAAAAAAAGCACATGACAGTCAAATGACCACCACCTGAATAGGGAATCCTAATTATTATCCATCAAATTCATAATCGAAGAAAGAGTAAACTACAGGTGACCTTTACACTTGTATCATGGATCTGGTAGATATAATTAAGGTTCCTTTCCTAGAGGAGTGGTTATGTGATTGTCATGAATTTTTTTTAAGAGAAACAAATTGTGTTTCAATTTTGCCATTGAAATTGTGGGAACCAGAGAGATGGTGCACTTTTTGGCTTAAAAATTGATCGAAAGTGAGTTTTGAGACTAAAGGGGCACATTTTTTATAATTAATTTGATGTTTATATCAAAACCATTCAAATTTACACGAAATGTATTAAAAATTATACAAACTGATTTGAACTAGATAGAATTTAACTTGCTGTATAAGCCAATTTATTATACACAATAATGGTTTCTGGATATCGATTCATACATTTCTTCTGAGCTTTGATTTGCATCTTATGTGACGGATACACCGAATTGACTTCATAATTCGTACCGACAGATAATCAATAATGCAACCGGGTGATTCATGAGTCGATAAAGAATTCAGTGCTCTTAAGTGGCTGTTGCACCTCTTGATCACATGATTCTAGCTGTCAATCTCTTGGATTTGGGCTCCAATTTTTTTGCAATAGTTTTGATTATTTCAGATTATGTCTTTCTTGTGCCTTTCAATTTTTACAATTTAATAATTGTTTCTTAGATTAATAACTGTCTTTTTGATGCCATTGTGCTGAAAAAGAGGTACAAATAAAGACATTTTTAAGAGTAAATCATAGCTGAGGACAAAATTTTACTTCCTCAAGTACCAATTCAAATAAAACATTCAAATTTACCTAGTAGATGTATGCTTTCAAACAAAAAAACTGTATACCTTTAACGCAAAAAAAAAAAAAAAAAAAAAACACGTGCAACTGCCTCGCTGAGGCTTTTGATCATTAGTAAGGCTCCAAAAGACCTAACTTAGATCAGTGTGTTTGGGGAGTAGATTATTTGAAATAATTTTTTAGGACAAAATACTTTAATACTTTTTGGATGTGATGTATGTAAGATAAAATGGAGATTGAAAAATATGTCGATGATGTAAGTAAATAAAATTTGGCAAATAATTTACTATCCAAACAAATATTAATTTGATGAAACCAATGGAATTTATGCGGTCTTAATTTGGCCGGGTCACGTGAAATCACTTCATTTTCAATTTCGACTATATATTTAGTGAGACTAATAGTCGGTTTAGATTGTAATTTTTAAAAGTTATTATAGAAAAATATACTAATAGTATATTTTTAAAGATGTATATTATAATTTTTGAGAGTTTTTATATAAAAAACATATTACACTACTTTTCTTAAAATATGGTGTATGTAAAGTAAAAATGTAATTAGAATATATAATAAAAAAAAATTCTCACGAAAATTTACAAAAGTTTTTGGCAAAAAATGCAATCCAAACAAGGCCTAGATATGGTGAGCTAGCGTTGGATGCGTCGACACTGGAACTCTATGATTGTCCGTCTACTTACTTTTATAATTAAGGTTTTCTGCTAAAAACAAAATAATGTCTTAGCTGCAACGTTGGTTTCTTGAGATTGATTCCGCAGCAACCACATATTTCTTCTGAGCTCTAAGTTGGCTCGCATGTGGTGGGTACTGTTTCCGTATAAAACAATTTGTTATGCGCAATAATGGTTTCTGGATATACATTCTTACATTTCGTCTGAGTTTTGATTTGCCTCTTACATGATGGTTACACCCAATTAACCTCATAGTTCATACCTGCAGAAAATAATCAAAGATATAATTGGTGATTCACGTGTGGATAAAGATTTGAGTGTTTTTCTAATTAATAAAGAATAAAGTGTTTCTTAAGTAATAGCTGCACTCTTGATCACATGATTTTGGTTGTTGATCACTTTGATTTAGATTCTAATCTTATTCAAATACTTTTGATTCTTTGAGATTACGTCTTTCTCGTGCATTTCAATCTTTGCAATTTAATAATCTTCTTAAAATGGGATTTACATGTTTAGTTCTAGAGAGGCCCTTGATTTGGATTTGGGGTTGTACTTTACTCAATTTCGGGATAAGTTAATAATTTCACATTTTATTGCACTATATTTCAAATCAATTACAACATATTTAAACTTTTGTTATACCATTTTCCAACCTAGTTACATCAAAGAGCAAACTTGTGGAAAATAAAACTTGTAAAGCCCTCGATCCCATTAATATTACACATGCAGTTAATATTATAATAAAGGAAAAATTGTCAAATTGATCCCTTTCATTTTTGATAATTTTTTTAGTCCCTCACAATTAGAATTAGCTAAAATAGTCCCTTAAATATATATTAAAAAATGCATCCTTACGGTCACAGAGCTGATTTTTTATTAGTTTTTTAGCCAAAAAGTGCACACCTCTTAGGTGCCCACAATTTTGATGGCAAAATGGGAACACAATTTATTTTCTTCCGAAAAAACAAAGCACAAGACAATCATATGACCACCTCTTGAATAGAGAATCCTAATTTTTATCCACCAACCTCATAATCGAACACGAAAGAGTAACCTGCAAGTGACCTTTATGCTTTCTTGTTCGACTATGAGTTTGGTGAATAAGAATTAGAACTCTAGAGAAGTGTGTTAAACTAATCATGTACATGTGAGTGCACTGCGCAGTGGAAATCTAAATATACTTACCTCTAACCATTGTTGTCAAGTACAAGTTGATCTCTTCTTGTGTCTTTAACTCCTTCTTGATTATTCTAACAAAAACAAATTATGTAGAAGAAGGAAAAGCAAAAAGAGAATTTAGAGTAAAGATCTTCTAGCCTATACCTAACCCAAAAAAGTGTACAATTGATGGAATACCATAGGCTATTCATAGGTTAGGTTAGGGACCCTTACTGGCAAATACAAAAATCCCTAGGGTTTCCTTCCATTAAGGAAATCTTGCCAAAATTCATAACTGACTTAAAATTTTTTGACTAATTGATTGATTTGATTGATTAACTGATTAAATAAGACATCAATTAATAGTAGATATCAATCAATCATAGACAAATAGAAGGTACTAATTAATTATTAACAAAATGTCAATCCATTAATCATGATGTCAATCAATCATTATATAATGGGAGATGCTAATTAATTATTGACAAAATGTCAATCAATTAATTATGATATCAATCACTTTAGAATCAATTATGTATGTCACAATTGCCTCAAAAGAGGCAAGTCTTACATTCTCCCACTTGACCCACATGAAATAGTCAGATAACTTATGAGTGACTAACTACCTAAAAATGGGCATAAACCTTGTTTGTCACTCACCAAATACAGTAGTTATGTAACAGTTGCTTAATTAGAAAATAATAATAC